CAGCCAACTTTGCTTCAGATTTTCACTCACAATGTAATCCCATGAACGAATCTGAATATATTTTGTTGCATGAATTTCAAATTATCAGTGCTGATTTTGGTAACACTCGATTTTCTTCATCTGGTGCAGCTTAGAGGAGCCAAAATACCTGAAAGTGAATTTAAAGCCCTCCCGAATGGTCTAAAGTTAGTAATACCACCTAAAATCTTTGCTTTACCAATACCACGTCTTGAATATATCATTCATTTTTTCGAGACTGATATTTTTCTTGTATAGTTCTTTCATCAAGTCTTTTGATCTTAAATTGAATATGTTAGATGTATTTTTCCTGCTTGTATGTAATTTGCATTCGGACAAGATTTGAGGAAATTACTATTTCATTTTCTAGCATTATTATTTAATCATTTATAATGTCCTGTAATAATAACATCTAGTTACTCAAATTTTCTGACTTAAAAGAATCATTTTCTAGGTACTATGATTTGAAAGTTGGCGGGGGACCTGAAGCTGTCAAGGGATCTCGGGTTGCAGTATGACAAGTGGCACAGTTGAAAACTTTTAATATCTAAGTACATAGTTTTGTTAATAACTGTTCTGCATAAAAGACTTAATAGATAGAAATCTACAAACAAATTTTCTTTTGATGGTTTATATTTAATGACCACTCGTGATAGTGTTATGCATGATAAACGTTTATTGAAAATCTTCTTTTGTTCCAGTGAATTTAGAACTGATTGCTATTTTGCTCGCTTTAAATTCGTTAGGTTCATTACGTAGCCAAGTGGAAAGGCATCACTTTTATGACCAGTAGACAAGGTTTAGGAGTTGGTGGTGGAACGGTAAGGCCATAAGGTTGAGTGGTCGTCCTCCATTTTTAAGGTTATGTTTGATAAAATTAGCTGATAAGCTGGCTGATAGCTTATAAGTGATTTTCGAGCTTATAGCTTATAGCTTATGACTCATAGCTGAAAAGCTAGCTTATACGATAAAAGTGTTTGGTAAAATTAGCTGAAATAAAAATTTCAACGAGCTTATTTGAAAAGCTATCTAATGAAATTTATGTGATAGCTCGAGCTTTTTAAAAAAGCTCATCCTACCAAACGAAGCTTGTTTGAATACAATAAGCTTATAAGCTAACCAAATAAACTATAACCGGGTTTATATGTGACGAGAAAAACGAAATGAATAATAAAATCCTTCATTCCCTTAAAATTTTGCGAGTTATCATCTAACAAATTTTTTCCTTTCGGCTCCCCCTTTTATATCTTGATTGCTGAGTATAATTATATCCTTGTAACTTTCTGTGGTGAATGAAAACCAATAACCAAAATACGAAAGCTTCATCATTTTTTCAATTTTGCGATTGTTTTGTGGTTTGATGCAGCCTTATGGATTTGATGTTGGTCAGTCTGAGAGAGGAACAGTTCTTAAAGGATTAGACTTGGGAGTTGAAGGCATGCGGGTCGGTGGCCAGGTCAGATTAATCTTCCGTGCGAATATGCATTTTTCTTCCTCGTTATTAATCCATTTTTGGATTCAAATGATAGCCTCCTTTTCAT